GAGGCCAGGCCGGCTAAGGAGATGGGAATTAAAAAGTCTGACTGGCCTCTCAGTAGCACCAAAGAATGGCGGGCGGGAGGTGGGGTAGAAAAGTCAAGAGATGGAGGGGAGGGGAGAGAATTTTTACGAAGAAGAAAAAATTGAGAAGTTGAAGAAAAACACAAGTTATTCACATCCAAAGGGCCTACCAACTGCCAAAATATGTGCTTGTAAGGAGGTAAGAAGAAAACTCGTGCTTTTAGTGAGCAGGCTCGTGTCCCCTCCTTGAAACGATAAACTCCAGCCTCCTTAGAGTCACGTAAGGAGGAGGCAGCCACGTGTGGGGAACAGTGGCTGCTGTGGCATCAGATCCCCGGGCTCACTGCCTTGGTCCTCACTGGTTCGCATTGGTCTTTAGATAGTTAACCCTTCAGAAGGGCCTAAAGATTAGCCCCCGTGACTTTACAGTGGAGACAGGTACAGAAGCTCGAGAGGTCAAAGGGACAGGGGACAGGTGGATAAATGTCAAGAGCTCCTGCTTAATCCTGTTCACAGAGACAGGGCGACCTGGGGACTCCGAGTTTTTGTCTTCTTTTGGGACCTTTGTTGACGGATGGCAGGAGGCCTAGGGAGACAAGGACTGGTCCCAGGGCTTCTGTTTGCTCCTTCACCGTGTGTTTTCTCCCAGACCTGGGCATATTTCCTGACTCTGATTCGTGGAACCAGGGAGCTCTGGGAAAGCCAGGAATTATGCTGAACGTTTAGACTTCCTTTGATCCCCGACATGGGTGGGGGACTTGGGAAGGACGGAATACCCAGGAGAAGCAGCCTCGTGCAGTGAAGAGAAGCCCACTCGACCTATGGAAGGAGAGGCTGCCCTTGAGCCCTTTCGATGGAGTTCAGGTGTATTCTGCCTGATGGGTTTTCTTGCCTATTTATTTAAAGATGTGTCTCTAAATGAGATTGTTAGTGTTTTTCGCCTTTGCCATAGTTGGGTTTTTAGTGTATCCTTGGGAACTAGGACACGTCTTTGGTTAGTAGACAGTCGAGGTCCACACAGTGAAATGCCGGGAAAGCAATTCCGAAGGGACTGACAGGTGTGAGAATGGGGCTCAGCTGCTCCCAGCTGCGTGGCTTGATGACAGTCTTGCAATAAGTAATCAGAAACTGGGTGAAATGATAGAAAATGTCAGTTTAAAGTTTTCCCTTGTCAGAACTAAGATTGTCTTATCAGCAGAGCACGGCTGGACCAAATCATGTCCCCTTTTATCCCCCCGCTCATTGGAGAAGAGTCTTCACCCGGTTTTCTTAGGCTGAGCTGTGTTAGAGCACGTCTCAGACACGCTTCCCGTCCACGGCGAGGGCGTTACTGCTCGGTCCGTTCAGTAGAGGAGCCTCGGTTTGGTCAGGAGGCAATTGTTTGACTCTTCTGTTGATGACGTGGGACCTGTCATTTATAGTTCCAAGGGGGACCTGTCTTAGGGGAGGACATTATTATGAGTTTTATAAAGAAGTTACTCTCATTTTATCTGTGCAACAAAGATAAACTTCTCAAGAATACCAGAGTTTTATTTGTCTAAGGGGCTATCACGATGTGGCTCCTGACCTTTGAAAAGAAGACTGAGGCTCGCTTAATGTAGTGCTGAGTTTCTAAGAAGAATCAGCCAGTTTGTTTATTTATTTGTTAATTCTCACCTGAGGATACTTTTTCCATTTTTATTTTTATTTTTTAAGAGAGGGTGGAAGGGAAGGGGGGGGAGAGAGAGAAAGGAAGAAACATAATTGTGAGAGAGACACATGGATTGGTTGCCTCCCACACACACCTAGACCGGGCTGGGAATTAAACCTGCAACCCAGGAACATGCACTTGGCCAGGAATTGAACCTGCGACCCTTTGGTGCGTGGGCCGATGCCCTAGCCACTGAGCACACTGGCCAACGCTTGCCCATTTATTTTCAACAAAATGAGAAGATGCTGCGCATGAGCCCTGGAGAGTGTCAGAGCAGCCCGAGGGTCTGAGCAGCGTCCCCACCAGGGGTCTGACAGGTAAAGCACCGAGGCTCGGCGAGAGGACACCGCTGACACACTCACCCAGCACCTGGACGCACACGTGTAGACTCAGATGTCTTGACCAATATTTGACACTCGCGTTTTATCAAAAGGTTTGCCTGTAAATGCCTATCCTCAAGATGAGAAAAGTATTCTACTTTGATAGCAATTCTCAGATTCAAAGCTACAAAGCCTTAAGAAGTAGGAAGGCCGGATTTCTTTTGCTATTGCTTATTTTTGCTGGATTTTTTTCTCTTCTTGAATATGAAAATTTCTGTGCTCTTTTTCCAGCTGGTCCCTCTTCTTTTCTCCTTCCCATAAATGTTTATTGTGTTTGAGAGAAAGGACCTCAGAGAAGGAGAAAGGGAGGGGAGGAGTTTGAGATGAGACAGAATTGCGGCAGCATCATGCCCTGTGGGCATGGACAGTGAGGTTTGTATGGACCCTGACAAGCCCAGGGGGAGAAGTGGGACATTTGGGAAAAGCACGTGACAGAGCAGGTCATAGAAAAGCAGGAGCCGCCGGGTAAGGTGGGCTGCCGTGAGCACAGCCTGCCTCCAGCTCATGGCAGTGGCCGTGACCTGAGCTCTGAGTGTAGATGCTGCCACAGAAGAGCTGTGTGACCCTGGCCAGGTGGCTCACCCTTGCTGAGCCCCAGCTGCCCCATCAGTGAAAGCAGAGATTTTGTGCAGGTTACGTGAAATCGTGCACATGGCTCCCCGTTCCCATGGCAGGGGGCCTGCTTGTCACCGCTCTGTTCCTCTCACCCTCCCTCCCTTTCTCCCAGGCTCTCTAGGAAAGCCAGCCCTCAAACTGCAGAGTATTTTTCTAATACTCCTGCTACCTGTGGCTCCCTGGAAAAATTGCACCTCGCCTCTTGGTTTAATAGTTCAGCTGTGGGAGTGACTATTCTGTTCCCGGGCAGCATTTCGGGCAGCCAGTGGAGCCCAACGCAGCGCATGGCAGAAAGCTTGGGTTTTGTCTCCAGGCAAGAGTGCGCCCCCCCCAGCCAGGGTGCCGCACCACGCCACACCGCAGCAGTGCACGTGCGGGGTGTGACTACACGGGGTCCAGGTCTGGCCTGCGCTTTGCACATAAAGGCAGCATTTTGTACTGAGGAGTCGGGCATGTTATCAGCACTTACTAACTCTCTTTGATGCGAGCACCTGTAGACTCTCGGGTCTCTACGTGTCTGCTGCGTCTGTGTCGCGCGAGTGCTGCTACCTCGGCCTGGAGGGCCCCTGAGGTGCCACCTTTGCCCCTCCCCTTCCTTGTGTTCGCCCCCAACCCAGCTCCCCCTCGCCCGCTTTGAGAACACTGCTCAAGCATCGCCTTCCCGAGAAGCGCGCGCACCACCCCAGTGGGTGGAGGTGCCCCTTCTCTAGGGACCCAGTGACTCAGCTCATGGACAGTGAGGGTCCGTTCGGGGCCGGGAGAGGGACAGCGGGTGACAAACAGCGGCCATGTGCTGTGGTGGGTCCTCGAGTGCCCGAGAGATGGGGAGGTTCTCTGAGCAGGTGGCACTTGGGCTGAAGGCCCAGCAGGCGGTGGCTGGAGGGGAGGGGAGCAGGTGTGAAGACCCCGCCCCGCTGGAGGACAAGAGGAACAGCGCCCCGTGGCTTCCCTCCTCCCGGGAGCTGCCCCTCTTGCCTCGTCATCGCATCCGGTGGGCGGTCTGGTGTCATTTACCTGAGAGGACGTGTGGGGTTCCAGGCAGGTGTGGGTTGAACCCACGAGGGTGTGACCTTATGCCCCGGTCTGTGAGCTATTAGGCAGGCATCGCAGCGTTTCTGACCCGCAGGGTCCTTACCTAGGAAATGGCTGTGACGGTTCTCCGTCCCTCAGGTGGTCGTCGTGATGCCTGGGTGGGTGTCAGCAGCTGACACCCAGCGACAGTCACAGCTCAGGTCTTAGTGTTCACACTATGACTCCCTGAGGGTTAACAGCCGAGCCGGATCATTTCCCTTTGGATTAGAGCTTCTGATTTGATTGCGGAGGTTGGAATCGTGAGAGTGGGTTTCCGTGACAATCCAAGATGAACTTTTCCCTGCGCAGTAAGGTGGGTGGGAAAGGGGCAGCCCAAGAGGGTGAGGGGGAGCTGCCGCTCGGACACGCGAGAGGGCGTCGGGCACTAATTATATCTGCTGCGGTTCCGTAATCTGGGTCTTCCACGATCTGCTCTTTCAAGAGATGATGCCTGATGCAAATATGCCGTGTGTGGGGGGGCTGTTTTGCACTGTCTGCAAAACAGCTATGGTACAGGCCCCCTCCAGGAGCCCAGGGATGCTGGGCATGAGAAGACAGCGTCAGCGTGCCTGTGCTTTGCCAGGCTCCTGGCCTCTGTGCCCGCAGGGAACCTCCCGCCCACTCCTGCCCCACCCCGCCCACCGTCAGTGCTGAGCCCCGGGCGAGCCCCTGCCTGGTGGCCATGAGCTGGTACTGGGAGAGAAAATGTCTCGGCTCCGCACTTGTCCCACCTGTGTTATAAAGTGAGGTCCCACGGCTTATACGGGGCTGGGTTTTCGGTAGGTGAGGCTTAAGGAGGAAATAAAGTCCATGCCCTCCATAGATGGTCCATCTGTAGGTGAGAAGCTGGGGCCGCCTCCTCCGCTTGCACAGGGCCCTGGGCCTGTCCTGTCTTCTGCCCACTGCCACCCTGCCAGGACCGGGACGGGTGCCACCCTCGCATTGCCCGTGTGCTGCAGGCCCTTACTCTGTGTTGATTGGCCTGTTGCTGTGGTTAAAGTGTCAAAACACTTATTAGGTTGGGGGACCTTTGATAACCCTGAAGTCTGAGGCCTCGGTGTTAGGGCTCTGCCAGTCCCGTGGGGATTTCTATCAGTTTTCAGTCCTGCCTCTGTCAGTTTTCTTTAAGTTTTGAAATACTTCCCTGAGTGTGATTTAAGCTCGCAGCCAGGCCGTTTTGCCCGTTGCTCATCTCTTTCCTTTGTGCTCTGTCTCGTTCGCTGCAGCGGTGCTGACTACTATGACTACGGACACGGGCTCAGTGACGAGACGTACGACTCCTACGGTGAGTGAGTGGCCGGCGCGAACGGGCCAGGGAGGGAGGCGGCACAGAAAGGCCTCCGAGGCCTCGGCCCAGGGGAATGCATGGAAGGTGCGCAGCCGCCTCATCTCCGTTCACCGGTGCCTGTCCGTTTTCAGAAGCTCCTCTGAGATTTAAAATTTAAAGAGAAGTAAAGACTTGCAGAACATTGTGGGAATTCAGATTCTGAACTTAGGTTTTCGTTTGGGGTTGACTGCCCGTTTTCTCACTCACCGCCCTGTGCCAGCCTGCAGCCCCCGTTAGGCTGGGGCTTTGTTGGAGTGTCTTCGCTTCTTGACAGGAAAGGAAAGGGACACGGTTGAGAGGACAGCTCTAGAGTGATTCTTCCACCCCATCTTTGTATTTTAATTCATCCCCAGTCTCAAACCCTCTAAACACAGTGCAGCGGGAGTTGTCCCACCAAGGCTTCCCGAGCCCCCAGCCCAGGCAAGACGGAGCGGGTCCGCAGGCTCGCGGGAGACAGGCCAGCCCCCCGAGTTCGGGGAATCGGGCCCCGAGCCTCCGGGCCTCCGTGTGCAGAAGGAAGGCGGTTTAATTAAAAGAATTGACAGCAGCAGCGTAATGATGGGAAGGAGCTCCTTTGCCGCAGGGCAAGGAGATCAGAGAACAGGAAGCTTCAATCGCTTGTACCCGGGACCAGGCGAGTGCATCAGGATCCTGGTTAATGGATGTGATGACATTTCTCTGAACATCACAGAAAAGCCATTTCCAGGTGTTCCTTTGAAGTGCATTTTGTTCTGTCGTCTGCCCCAAGCCATGACTGCACCTTGGATTTTTATTTTTATTTTTATTATTCGAAGCAAACACTTAAGAGAAACAGGTTGTTCTGTTGAACGCGAACACCGTGCATTTAAATGGATACAGGTTGGCTTGAGGGAGTGAGGTTGATGGCATGTTTGTGTCAAAGGAAGAGGTCATTTTACGCCTTTTCCTTCACAGCTTTTTAAAATTGGTCTCTGTGGACGCGTGACTTTCAGGCTGTGGCGCGTGGCGCGGGGTGTCAGCGGCTTGTGGAAGGCCGGGGACCGCCCGAAGCGCTGAGGCGGAACCCGCGTTTCAGTTCAGGACGTAAAGGTTACTAAACCCGCTGTCCCGCGTGGATTAGTATTATGAGCCAAACATGGCACTGCGCCGCTACGTTTATTCCATACTCACGAAGTGTCACAGGTTAAATTTGCACCCAGCCGGGCGCTCTCTTGTCCTTCGGGGAGAGGGCCCAGGAGGGGCAGGGCGGCGCCTCTCCGCCCCGCTCTGCCCCTTCCCACGTGGCTCTCAGCTTCTCCTCCGGCCTCATGCGTTTACCTGTGTTTCTTGGCTACCGGAAATCTAAGGGACGCTTTGTCCAGTCGTAAATGTCCTCACGTGCAGCAAAGTCAGTTCAATTTGTGACTTGAGCCCGTGAGCTTTTTTGTTAAATGACTGGCCCAAAGGAAAGTTCCTGTGAAGTCAGTTGCCATTTAAGATACAAAAATCATTTTTCTTCCCATGCTGATAGGTTTCGGTGATGAGACGACCATTTTCCACCGTGTCTGTAACTTTTTTCTTAACTGAATTCATTTGTATTTTTCTCGGTATATCAGGGCTGTATACCTTCCATATGACATCAATGGTAGGTTCAGGGCTAAGTTAGATCCAGCAAAGTGATGCTGACCAGATCCCGGTCAGTGATCTAATTGTGATTTGTCTTAACTGGTTTTAGGGCGAGAGGAGTGGACCAACTCAAGACACAAGGCGCCGTCGGCGAGGACGGCGAAGGGCGTCTACAGAGACCAGCCGTATGGCCGATACTGATTGTACTGTCTGATGTTGTGAAATAGCCCATCTCCACCCGTCCTGTATACTGTTCAAAGTAATTGTTTTCTATGAACAATCCCTTTTTAAATAAATCAAAATGCTTAAAATCTGAATGGATGGAACTCAAAGCTACTTTGTGGAAACATCAACCTGGGCAGAAAGAAAGAAAAAAAAAAAGACATGTAAAATTTTGTTATTTCCAGTCTGTATATGAAAAAAATAGGTCATCAAAAGGAAAAAAAATAACTTTGATTAACTAGTGTTAAACAAAAAGATAGGTTTACTAAATATGTTAATCCATCCTTTAACATAAGCCTCACCTTTCATTTTAAAGGTTTCCATAGAGTTTAGTTATTTTATCTTTTGGCCATGTGCTGGTTTTTTCCTTTCTTGCCAACATGGGTAAAAAGGGAAGGCAATTACAAGTGCAGATAATGTGGTATTTCTTTTGTAACTCGAGTCCTGAAATGTTCTGTAGTGTTAAGCAAACTTTCCTCTTGCTTGATACTAAATAAACTTTTGAAAGAAACTTCGTGTGTGTGAGCTAACAGTTTCATGTTTTTCTTACTTAAAAAGGCCTTCATAAATAGTTGTAAACAGGGAATTCATTTAATGACGCTCGTCATAAAAGGGTCACACTATAAACGTTGTACAACTTCTTTTAAAAATGGTATAAAATTAACTGTGCCATTATATACACACTCACCGTAGACTTAAATGCTGTTTTTAAAGAGTCCAAATGGTATCCACGCCAAATCTTGTTTAAAAACTGGTTTTAAAATAACTACTGACTTTCTGAAAAAGATGTGATCAGTTTTCACCTTGTTGAGCGTTTTTTCACTAGTGCCACTTTGGATTTTTTATGAGAATTTTGGTACCTTAATGAACTCCTCGCTCCATGCTGGAAGCAATAAGCACAGAGCTTTTAAAGACAGTCTGACATGACTAAATGAGGTCGCACTCGCCAAGGCTGAGGATGTGTGTAACCCTTAAACGGTCTTCATTTCCAAAGGTAAATAAATCAAATAAGATTTTAATCTCACTTAATTTATCTTAATAGAACGACTAAAACCAGGGCGATTACAACTTAGCAAGTTTCATTATCCATTTCAGAGAGGTCTTAAGAGCACCTAAATTCTCATTTTAAAAAGTTTAATTTGTTTTAGTAACCTAAAAAGCCATAGTTTAGTCAGTTTAATTGGGGCCAATTACTCCCTGTTAAACAGATGTAAAACCTCATAACTAGTCGTTTGTAATACCTTGTTTGGTTAGTCATTGAGGGCACTACTTAAAACTGACAAATATTTAATAAAGTTATTCTTTAATCATTTGGCTTAAGTTGTTTTTAAATTGTAGTTTTTGTAAAAAGTTTATTTTTTTATTTCTTGAGGGCTTTCCTGCGCTTTGAGTAAAAAGGTCTTTTCTTTTGCTAGGAAGCGTCAGCCTGTTGCAAAGTGGAAGGAACGGCTGTGGTCCCGGCACAGACACAGGTAAGCGGCTCGTGCTCCCGCACTTTGATGTGTCACGAAGATGAAGACAGTTTCGTGCTCACCTACCGTCGCGTGGGAAAGGCCCTTGCTGGCTCCTGTCACCGGCGCCGGTGACTGGCGGGTTAACTCGTCCAGTGTAAAGCGAAGCTTCTGCGTGTAAAGCGGTCAGGCCGGCTCAGCTTTGCTGACAGAGGCTCAGCCACCACAGCGTTTAACACTCGGCCACTTTCTCCAATAAAGATGTACCAGCCTCGTCAGTGACGTGCGGAAGTTTTCCTAATTATTAAGTAAAAGAGGCAGTTTACCCAATGTGTGTAATATGATCCCAAGTTTATTTTTTAAAAACTGCGTATCCTCTGTATATTCATAGGCAAGAAATTACACAGGCATCCTGGGAATTTTTTACAGGAATTATCTTAGGCTTGTGGAAGTACCGTGTGTGTGTGTGTGTGTGTGTGTGTGCGTGTGTGATTTTCTCTCTGAAATTTGCAAAACAAGTCATTTTTATAAGAATATTTTAAAATGTGTTTTANCCTTAGGCTTGTGGAAGTACCGTGTGTGTGTGTGTGTGTGTGTGTGTGTGTGCGTGTGTGATTTTCTCTCTGAAATTTGCAAAACAAGTCATTTTTATAAGAATATTTTAAAATGTGTTTTATAAAGTTATTTTCTAAAATTTTAAAAATCTATGTTTCTGAAGGACAGGTAGCATTCATTAAGTCTCACTTTTCAGACAGTCTTGTTTTTTCCCTAAACCATCAGAAACACTACTCAGGCCCTGGCATTTCGGAGCCTGTTTGAAGCGTTTGTATTGGAGCTCTGCCCTTGGCTGCGCGAGTCTCACTTTGGACACCAGCACAGTGAGAACGAGGCCTGTCTCACGTCATCGTTCTAAGAATTGAGCAAGATACTATGGCCAGTGTTTGTAAGCTGGCAAGAGATACCACAGTGCGAGGCTGAACCGGCCAGCTTGATTAGGTACAGTTATTATGTGTGGGAAATAGGAGCTTTTCTTTTTTCATAATGGCCAGAGTTGATCTGAACCACTTAAAGTACCTGTAGGAAGAAAATCGTTCTCTTCACTCTCAGACCAAAATAAGTTCTTTTTTTTGCTTTTCTTGCACCGAAAGGGAATGTGACGTTGAACACATTTTCCCAGTGTGCGATGTACTGACATTTTCCACTGTTTTCTTTCTTGAATAATTAATTATTTAAGGAATTGACATATTGAATAATAAATAGGCAGGTTTCTTAAATCAGAAATCATGGGAGGTCCCTAGAGGGTTGACACCCAGATGGTCTTCAAGAGCTAATTCTTGGGAATTGTGGAATTTCATGTTTATTTGAAGTTTTTAAAGAATCCATAACTCCATTGGGCTATAAAGATGGGTTGTGCGCTGGACAGGTCAGGAACCCCCAGGAACACTGTGCAGCAGGAGTTCTGCTTGGCTGTCCCGGGCTTACCCTGGATGCCCTACACTCTGCCAAGCCCTGGGCCTTCCTGTTTCCACAGGAGACTCTGCTATTTTCTCCCTTCCCTGGGAGCATATTGCTTCTCTTCCAAATCTTTCTCCTTACCTTTGTCTGTCCTGTGGAATTTGTTANGAGCATATTGCTTCTCTCCCAAATCTTTCTCCTTACCTCTGTCTGTCCTGTGGAATTTGTTATTTTCTCATTTGACAACATTTACTGAGNAGCATATTGCTTCTCTTCCAAATCTTTCTCCTTACCTTTGTCTGTCCTGTGGAATTTGTTATTTTCTCATTTGACAACATTTACTGAGCACAAATTCTATATGAGACACAAAGGAGGCTGCGAAAATACATAGATCTGTAAGATGTGGACCTGGCATTGAAGTCACTGAATGTCCAATGGAGGTGACACTGACAACCCAGAACACACCATCCCCTGTTACCTCGCCCATCGCCCGGGCCCAGGCCCAGTGCCCTCTCCCATGATGCTGCCCCCAGGTAAACCAGGCCACCACCCTCTGCACTCTTCGAAATCTCACACTTAATCTACGGCTCTTCCCCTTAGGGTTGGCATTATATGATTATATTAGTTACAAGTTGTCATTATACAAAGCACGTGCTTATCACTTTCTGTAAATGATTTCCTTGAGTCCTCGCAACTGTAGGAAGGTGTCATCTCCATCGACAAAGGCAGACCTGAAGCCTCAGGGGTGCAGTCACGTAGGTGCGCGCACACGCCTCGTAACGCGGAGAGCAGATGCCAGCCACCCACTTTAACCCAGAGTCTTCGGCCTTGACCCTGACGTTACCTTGCCCGTTCTCGGGGCTGGCACCGGCTCCTCATCATTGAAGGCTGCTTAAGAGTGGGCTAATTTTTGTAACCTTGTACCCCTAGAACTAGCTCCCACATCCCTGAGCACTGGCTGGGCGCTCTGGTAGCTGCCCCTTCTCCGTCTCTGCCCCATCCGCCCCAGATTCCTGCCTGGAGAGTCTTTGACTGGGTTTAGGTTCTGTCTTATATTCGAGATATTCCGAGTTGAATCAGGATCAGGATTCACTTGGATACACTGACCGAGCATCTGCTGTATCACAGGCAGTGTAAATGACAGTCTTGTCCCTGAAGGGGCCAGACTTTCCTGGGAAATGAGCAAGAAAGACGCCAGTCGGGCCCTGAGCATGGACGCGTGGAAGACAGACGGGCACGTGGGGTGGTGAGAGGTAGGTGAGGGTGCCAGCAGGCCCTTAGGCTCAGGAGGAGCCAACCGCCCAGGGAAGGCGTTCCTGGAAGCATTCGTTCCCGGCGTCACTCACCAGCTCTGTGACCTGGGTCAGCTCCTGAACCTCTCTGAACTACAGACTCCTCACCCATAAAATGGGCACCGTGTTTGTTTGAACTCATCCCTCAGGATCGCAGTGAAGGTCAGAAGGCTGCCAGGTGCCAACAGAGCTGTCTGCTCGCTCTTGTTGCTTCATGTAAACGTTTGGAATGAGAAGAAAACAAGATCATTGGGAAACGTCAATTATATTAGATAATGAGAATAAATAGAGAATTAGGAAGCAAGAGGTGGTGCTGTCTGGGAGGCAGGGCGCACGGGAGGGCTCTCGAGGTCCTGCTGAGAAGCCGAGACTCAGTGGCACCACTTTGAGGTGTCACATACTGTCCACCTTCCGGCTGAGCGGCCCCGCCCTCCCTCCGGACGCAGATCGCCCCCGTTTGGTCTGTGTTCCCGCAAAGACTTGGCGCAGCTCTGCCCTGGTGGTTGATCCGGCAGGCAGACAGCGAGCGCCTGCAGAGACCGGCCTCGCCTCCCGGTCCCGTCCCTGTCCCTGTCCCACCCCTGTCCCTGTCCCTGTCCTGTCCCTGTCCCGTCCCTGTCCCTGTACGCCTCTGCCCCTGTCCTGTCCCTGTCCCTATCTCTGTTCCTGTCCCCGTCCCGTTCCTGTCCCTGTCCCACCCCCGTCCCTGTCCCGTCCTTGTCCCTGTCCCATCCCTGTCCCTGTCCCTGTCCCGTCCCTGTCCCTGTTCCACCTCTGTCCCTGTCCCACCCCTGTCCCTGTCCCATCCCTGTCCCTGTCCCGTCCCTGTCCCTGTCCCAGCTGAGCACAGCGTTCCTCAGAGTGAAGCTTTGGCCAGTGAGTGAGTAGGAAAGAACGGCACTGTCGGTGCGATCAATGCGGTTCCTAAAGGCGGAGTTAGGAACAGCGAGCAGACGGGACAAGAAATGGAGGAAAAATCCCACCCATGATGATAGTGTGACAGTTCAGATAGCCGAGCTCCCTGNGAAATCCCACCCGTGTTGATAGTGTGACAGTTCAGACAGCCGAGCTCCCTGGGCCGAACCCCGGACGAGACAGTGTCTGAGGTCGCTGTGTATGGAGATGGGTTCCAGAATCTAACACTGAAGATTTAAAGAAAAAATGTAGGTAACAATCTAATTAACCACAATATAAGCCACTTTGCCAGGTATATGTAATGAATATAAATAATAAAGTTTGTTTTTTAAGACAAGTAATATCTGTTTCTTCTGGTCAATGACTTACAGGGATAGAAAGGAAAAAGCCCATCGTTA